CATGTACGCTTTATATATTATAACGTAACGCTTAACTCAATACGTAATATGCGTCATTAGTTTAAATTTTCAGCCAACTTTAAAACGGAGTAAATTTACAATACCATTACTTTTTGTATGTAGGTTAAGCGATACCTTCGTTAACTGTGAAACGATTTTTTTAATGAAATAACATATACCTCAATGGTACTCTTATTAAATTCGAAAAAAATTCCACTCTTAATTTTGAAAAAAATATGTTTGAAGTTTTTAGCGTAACCGTTCAGCCGACATTATTTTTGCTATCTTGCGGCTGTGATATTGATTTGATGATTTTCACATAATTTAATAGCTTCTAAAGTCGGTATTAATCTTAACACCGACTTCAGTAGCTATTAAATGTATAGCAGCAGTGTATCGAACATTTTAGGTTTGGAATCATTTTATTCTTTTAGTTTTTTGATTTTACTTTGGGGTATTAGTAGTGTATTCTCATCTGGTTGGGCTGAATAAATATATAAAAGGAAATGATAAATATACATAAATATATATTTCATATATATGCATAAATAAATAAATAATACGTAAATAAATAAAAGCCCAACCAGGTGGTGGCCCTCGGCAGGTGAGACCAAACGGCCGAGGGTTAGGGGGAAAGGGAGAGAAACCGGCGGACGATGCGGGCGGTATCGAGGAACACCGCCTTCTGCATTTGAACCTGGAGCGGTCCGTCACGGAGTCCTAGCCGCCTCAGATGACCCGAGAGGCTGACTGGGATTAGCCCGTTTGTAGAAACGACTACAGGAATAATTTCAGTCGGCAGGCCGCCCCACATGTCGGTCACCTCGTGAGCCAGGTCCAGATATGTTGTTCGCTTATCTTTTTCGGCTTTCACGATGTTCTCGTCATACGGAATGGTAATGTCGACCAAAAATATCCTTGACTGTGCCCGGTCCATCAGCACAATATCAGGCTTATTCGCAAGAATAGTCCTGTCTGTTATGATGGCCCGGTCCCAGTAGAGCCTGGCGCGATCAGTTTCGAGCACGGCTTCCGGCAAGTTCGGCACAAATACGGCAATTTCCGGTCCACATGATTTTACTTATTCTTAAGTTTACTTATTATTTTGCAATCAACGGGATCGAGGTCAAGTACGCATTCAAATCAGATGTTTGGAATATTAAAACCTTTTACCTTTGTCTTTAAATACTGATCATTTTATCTAATATCGACTATGTGATAAAAAGATCGATTACGTTGTACAAGCAAATTCCAGGTAGACCTCATAATTGCCCTTGAGTGAACACACCCAAGAGCACCGATATAGACGGAGTAGGGCAAGTCAAAAAAGGGACTTTGTTACCTTCTGCCTCGAGTCGATTGCTCACTTGGCATCTATTATTATTAATGATTCTGCGCGCTGCCTTATAAACTTTCTTTATGCTCTCAAATATTTTAAAATGGAGATATATATTGAGCAGTGGTCAGATACAAGTCTCCCCCATAGATTGTCTCATAAGGGGATATTTACTAAAGTTACCACGCTTGGCAAGCGGTTTGGCAACAACATACAACAAAGTTTATTTTTATTTAGCTGTTATCAGGAAGATATTGCTGGCAACTCCTGCTTTAGTTTCCCTATATCACCTCTTACTACACTCACTGAATGATATGGGGTGGTAGATATTCATACACCACTTCTACACAGTAAAAGGTTTAATTTAAGGCTATAAGAAAAAAAATTCTTACCAACTTATTATTATAATACCCCAATCAGAGACGGGAAGCAATATCAAAGGAAGGAGTCGTCTGGTCTTAAGATCACCCTTCCGTCTACCAAGCGTGGCGATTATGGAAAACACTTCCAGCTATAGAACCAACATACCTTTTTAGCGGATGATGAAGAATACGAATATTTTATTAATATTTGTTTGTAAAAATTACATCAAAAAATGAATTCTTACATTATTGTCTTACACCGTGTAGTGGCGGTATAAGAATATACACTACTCCATATCATCCCGTGGGTGTCGTAAGAGGCGACAGAGGGAGACAGGCAGGAGATGGGCAGCAGTCTTCCTAATAACGACTAAAAATAAAAAACTGCGATTGCCAACCCGCTAGCCAAGCGTGGCAACTATGGCAAATATCGCCCCTATGATGCTATCTATGGGGGAGCCCTATGTTCTGCAGTGGACTTTGTTAGACTGTAACGGATTATGTTATAATTCTTACTAAAATGTTGTATTATACGTATTACGTAATTACAACATTTTTTATAATAATGTCTCTAAATGGAATATCGGTCACGGTAGCCGCGTGTGCGTGAGCGTGTGCGTAAGCATAGATGCACTCTCTGTTCCCTAATTGACAAATTCCGATGGGACGACAATCCCATAATAATTATCATAATTATTATGATGGTGATGGGATCGAAATCCGGTCACGATAGGCGTATTATGGTACACAAGGGTGTACGTGAGCACAAGTGTAATATTTATTCCATTACTCGCAAAGTCCCGTGGGCCGACAATTCCATACGACCTTACTAACTCTAACGGCTTTCCTTGCTTTTCGAGGCGAAGTGGTGAAACACCGCCTAATTTTTGAATCCGGGCTGTTACTGAGAAATTTTTGAGAGAAAAATCCAACAACTGATTTTGAAGCGACGACCGGGGTTTCGATCCCGGGGCATGATCAGCAGTTGCGCTTACGACCTTCATAATAACATAAGAAACTTAAGAGAAAGCAAGTTCAACCGCTATTGAAGATATAATTACAATCATAGAATTATGATAAAAGAGTTTCAAGGTACCATTTACTAAGTTTATTTTGTGCTTTACGATTGGGTCCTGTGGATTGCATGGACAAGTTTCTTGAACTGTCTTGAATTGTGTAACGTTAAACTGCAAGTCAACGTTTGTGAAAGTTATTATTCCTAGGATTTGGTTATTATAAGAATCAATGTATTTGTAATTTCAATAGACTTTCATTTGTATTAATGATATATTATATTTTATTGTTAACGCACTGCCCATCTGTTCGAACTAAGGCCATAAAATTGGAAATAGCCTAGAATACAGTGTTAATACAACAAAAATCAATTTATCATTAAGATATAATAAAAACCTTGTAACAAAATGTATATATTTTGTAATATATTCATTCTGTCACAAGTTTACAACAATTATTAATTGTGCTAGTAGCCTGTCTTGTTCTCAGCTCACATCAAATATACGAAACTTCAAAAAATACAATTCTAACTTAAAATTAAAATAACAAAATAATTTTTTTAATTAATATTGAAGTAGGAGATTTGACTTTTAGATATACTTTACTCTTTTTAGGTTTGGAAGTTGGTTTTTAATTTTTATTTATAGTTTAATTTTGAAGTGAACTGTTGTGTTTCCCTCAAAATTAGCTAATTTCTTTAGTGAATATGACGTATTTTATCTTCTTACTTAAAGCCTTAAACGCATCTGTAGCCATTTTATTCATTATTTTGGTGATTTCTAAATTGGTAGCAAACCTTAAGACCATATTGTTTGGAGTAATAGCATATTAAATGTTCAATACATAAAATATTGCTGTTATTTCATTTAGACTTCATTGTAGATATTTTGTAATAGTTTGAGATTACAGCAGACGACAACCGCTTTAAAATACTTTTCGAAAAAATGTAAAACAAAATAAGATGTTCAAATAAACTTTGCAAAACGTGAGTAATGGTGCTTGTTCTTCCACGCACCAGATCGCTCGCATCTTTGACGCTGTAATCGGTCCGGATATTTTACGTCTGGTGTAAACGAGATGGTTATGACTGTTTATTGAAGCAATGAGGTGTTTCTGGTATTTCCATAGTCACCGCTTACTACTCTCAAAGTACGAAATTCTCTAACGCCTCCACAATAAGATAAAATGTACTACTACAAAATAAAAATAAACAACCAAAAAATAATACACAAAATATTAACTCCTAAAACTATATAATATTATTTAACTTATAAGAATCATTTAAATTATATTACCTACCATATCACATAAACCCTTATAAGTAATTTTAATATGAATATTTAAAAAATAATACATACACAACATATTAACTCCTAAAAACTATATAAGAATCATTAAAATAAGATCACCATACTATATAAACCCTTATATGGAAATTTTAAAAGAATATTTTATGTGTCAATTAGTTATTTTCATTTATCACAACACATGTAAAAATGCTTTGTTGTCAATCACAACAAAAATACGAGTATTTATATGTGGCTCAATATTTCAGTTATGTACATCTACGATTATAGATGGTTATGACGATCATTTTACATACTTTTTCATTACATCAAAAATAAGTATTTTAAACACCAGGTTGTTGAGCTCGTTTTCTCTTGACAAGTTCATTCAACAACCCTTTTGCCTGTATCTGCTACTACGCATAATTGCACCCACTAATGTGTTTCTCTATCACACAAAAGAATACTTATAGAGAATGAGATTTTTGCTTTTCTATGAGGTAGAAAAAACCCACATTACATAAATATTAAAAGTATTTCCTAAGAGTTGACTGCAGGTATCCATATAATATAGAAAAAACTGAACTTGGATTGCAAGCACTCTAACAAAAACAAAAAGTTTACAGGATGGTGAGTTGAGGTGCGTTAGTGCAAAAAAATCCATGTTAAAAGACTTACAGAAGTTTGCTAAAACACTTACCATCGATTTTGAAAAAAATACTACCAAGAAACATTTTAGAAAATTTTACAATAAAATAAATAGCTCATGTATTATATATAATAGCGTAAGTCAATCGTGTGGATTGTTAATAAGAATCAAATTTTCTTCTTCATTAGAGGGATACAATTATGGTAATCTTTAAATGTTATTATCACTGAATAATGAGTTTGAAGCAAATTTTTCAATCCATCCTTGCATATTTGGAAATGTGATAAAAATAATGAATTACTTTGGACTAGACTACTACTCAAGGCTTTGTGACAATAAATAATATCTACAGTTTAAGGAACATTCACAGGGAGAAACATTTGTGGGTCTCCTAACTTTGGTTCAAATCGAATATTAACTTTCGTGTCTCCGTCGCCGACTTCAAGAAAACTATTCCAGTCTAACATCCAATAAAAACCATTTTTTCTGGGTGGCGGAAGAACGGAATCCCCAGGTTCTGCCGGCGCAGCACCACCAAAAGATTCTTCTAGATCAGAAATTGATGCACCTGTATCATTATCTGCAGCAACGGCGGCATTTTTAAATTCATTTGCAATGGTAGTTGTTTCTTCAGTTGTATTCATATCGTTACTTAAATTGGTAATACTAGTCGTTTCAATAGTTTGTCTTTTATTTAGTTCAGTATCAAAAATAATTTTTTCATCGTCAATGGGGCTCGGACCCTTGTTTAGAGGTATAACTCGAACCGAATCGTAATCTATGGGCTCGTAGTTTGGCTTCGGTGTTGCAGATTTTGTTTTTCTAGGTTTCGGTAAATCCAAAGGAAGAACTGTGTCCTTTATTTCTGAAGATGATGTATCTAGTTCAAATGGATATTTAGGTGGTAATGGTTCATACAAGAAAGTATTTTGAGAAACGATTTTGTTTTTAGTGGCAGGTGTCTTAGTGTCTGCTGGTGATATTAAATCATAAGCTAATAAAATATTCTCAGGTAGTTGAACGGATTCGTCTATAACTTTCGCGGCCGGTAAGGGCTTGAATCCATCAAGTGGTAACAAAAAATTATCTTGCCCTGGTTCTCCTTTTAGACCATGTGCATCTAAAAACGCTTGTAGTTCCGCTGGAAATACAGGCGTATTTGAATCAATAATCTTTTTATTATTATTATTGCTAGAAGTTTTTTGATCGTTCTCTTTTAATTTGAGAGTAGTTAAAGGTTTTTTAGTTACTTTGGGTTCTGGTATGATTTCTACACGTGGAGGTTTAGTATATAATTCTTGTAGTGAAGAGCCATCTCGGGTTGTATATGGTAGAACCACTGTAATTTTAAGCCCATTACTTGTAGTAGTTTCAACGGATGTTGTTGTTGTTGTTGGCGATGATAAAGTGATATCTTGTTGTTTATTTGCTCTAATATCTGATTCCTGTATTAGAGAATTTAACTTTTTTTCTTGATTGGTATTAACAGTTTTCTTTCCGACTGTACTTTTATGATCTTTTGGTGATAAATTTCCCTTTGTATCTTCGGCTCTAATATCGTTTAGAAGTTGAAGTATCTCATCACGTGTCAATCTTGGCAATAAACTATTTGATTTCAGTATATTTTGAACTTGTTGAACTGTTTTCTCCACATCTACTGCACCTTTCACTATAGTAATGAATGTCATTACTGCGAAGAAGTAGATCAACTTCATTTTCTGTAACAAAAAAGATCATCATTAAATGTAAAATTAAAGAAAAAAGTTTAAATAAGACAAAACAAAATTTATTACACCAGAATATAATAAGTAAAATAGGTCATCATGGAAAGAAGAGGAATAATGTCCCACGAAACAGCGATAAAATAATTGATAGAATCGGGCATTACTTTGCGCAAATCCATTTTTATTTTATTTCAACTTCAAATACAATGATGATGTATTACCTAGATTGAAGAGCACCTCCCGTCCTCCCTCAATTGCGTGCACTAACTCCGTCACCACTAGTCCCAGCACCACTACTCCCAACACCACTACTCCCCGCACCACTTAAATAAATGCCAAATAAATGTAATAACAAATCCTTTTACCATGTCGTTTTCGTTACCTATACAACCTACTATAGTCCACTGCTGAACATATGGCTACCCAAAAGATTGCCTCACAGGAAGGATATTTGTAACGTATTTTAAAACGATAAGACACAGAAAAAACCAAACAACTACAACTCGGACTGATTATACCTATATAAAATTTACAAAATCAGCATCCCGCATTCTACGCTTTCATTCTCCTAAATTGAACCAAATTTTTTACAATAATATTATAAGAAGAAGTAAATGCTAAATTGAGATTGTAGACAAATAAATAAAATTGAGGGTCTGTTTGTAATATTAAATTACCGCTTTTTGCGAAATTAAAACGAAAGTACACTAGCCTTCAAAAAGTCAGCCCATCTGCGTTTTTACCGCAAATACCGCGTTTTTCTTAAGTAAAACCCACCAAAATGTTATTCACAGTTATCACATCAAAATGATTTTTTGTAAGTCATTTTGATTTAAAAATCTAAATCTTTGATATAACCGGATTTTTTGATTACTTAATTTTAAATACGCTCTAATTTACATGTCTTAAATATTATGAACATATAATGATTTCTTAAACATACGCGGACACCACACATTGAATAAAACTATATATACGGATTCTATCGCGTTTAGTTTACTTCATCATCATCATCATTACAGCCCTTTACAAGTCCACTGCTGAACATAGGCCACGCTCAAGGTATGCCACAAAGCACGGTCCTGAGCCACCTGCATCCATCGACTTCCTGCATGTCTTACCAGGTCGTCACTCCATCTAGTGGAGGGTCGCCCCACACTTCGTTTACCGGTACGAGGCTGCCACTCGAGAAACTTTTTTCCCCAACGGTTGTCGGTTCTTCGAGCTATATGGCCGGCCCATTGCCACTTCAGCTTACTAATCCGTTAGGCTATGTCGGTCACTCTGGTTCTACTGCGGATATCCTCATTTCTAAGTTTATCACGCAGAGAAACTCCGAGCATAGCCCTCTCCATATCTCGCTGAGCGACTTTGAGCGTCCTCATACGGCCAGCAGTGAAGGACCACGTCTCAGTTCCATATGTCATCACTAGCAACACGCACTGGTTGTACAACTTAGTTTTCAGGTTTTGAGGTATACCTGACGAGAAGATGCGTTGTAATTTCCCGAACGCTGCCCAGCCGAGTTGAATCCGTCGATTGACCTCTCGGTCGAAGTTGGACTTACCTAGCCGGACTTTTTGTCCCAGGTAAACGTACTCGTCAACAAATTCGAGCTTAGTGCTACCAACAACTACCGGCATAGGTGTGACATGGACATTAAACATGATCTTTGTTTTGTCCATGTTCATCTTAAGACCTATCCGTTGGGAGGCACTATTGAGGTCATTGAGCATAGTGCTTAAGTCCTAAAGCGATTCTGCCATAAGGACTATATCGTCGGCAAATCGAAGGTGAGTGATGTACTCGCCATTGATGTTAATACCGTATCCTTTCCAGTCCAGTAGCTTGAAAACGTCTTCCAATGCAGCGGTGAAGAGTTTCAGGGAAATAACGTCACCCTGTCTTACACCTCTCTGCAGTTGGATAGGTTTCGTACTCTGGTTCTGTACTCGGATAGCCATCGTAGCCCTACTGTACAAACACTTCGGCACTTCGATATACCGACAATCAACTTAGCACCGCTGAAGAGACTGTAGCACTGCCCAAATTTCGACGGAATCAAAGGCTTTCTCATAGTCCACATACGCCAGGTAAAGTGGCAGATTGTACTCTTCAGACTTCTGTACAATTTGCCGAAGGGTATGTATGTGGTCTATAGTGCTAAAGCCTTTCCGGAAACCGGCTTGTTCTGGAGGCTGGAAGTCGTCGAGTCTGCGTGCGAGACGATTCGTAATGACTCTCGAAAACAGCACGTAGACGCGGCTCAGAAGGGATATCGGTCTGTAGTTCTTCAAGAGGGCGTTGTCACCTTTCTTGAAGAACAAGACCACCGCACTTCTGCTCCACGCCTCTGGAGTAGTGCCACCATGGAGGACGGAATTAAAGAGCCTCTGAAGGACTTCAAGTACCGGTTTTCCACCCGCTTTCAGAAGCTCCGCTATAATTCCATCCTCGCCCGGGGACTTGCCGTTTTTAAGGTGCTGGAGAGCCATTCTAACCTCGCTCAGACTGACGTTCGGGATATCATCGGAATAGTGTCGGATAAGACCCGCTCTTGGATCGTTACTCACACTTGCGTGTGGCTTCAACGATGATGTGTACAGCTGCCCATAGAACCTCTCAATCTCACTCAGAGTCTCAGGTGTCCCGGAAACGATGCTGCCACACTCAGTCTTCAGCTTTGACAGTTGGCTCTTACTGGCAGACAGATCTCTGGCAAAGACTATGGAGCCCTGGTTCCGCTCAATCGCTTCTTCAATGCGAGCAGTATTAAATTTGCGTAAGTCTCGCCGCATGCATTTGGAGATCTGTCTGTTCAGTTGCCTGTATGCTGTCAAATCTGTTGACGATTGCAGCCTCATCTCCCGTCTACAGCCATGAGATTAAGAGTGTGATCGAAGAGCTTTTGTGTTCTTCTGCGGCCGGTCTTGCAGAACTTAGCTCCGACCGCATGGACAGTTTCCACGAGCTTGTCATTCATATCGTCCACTGCATTGCAATCTTCTAGGCACTGAAAGCGGTTACGTAACTCGAGCTGAAAGGTTTCGGGATTCTGGATTAGAGCACGAGGGGGACGGAGCGTTGACTTCATTAGACGAGACCTCTCCAAGTTAACGTTTAGGTTCAGTGTGCCTCTAACCATTCGGTGATCGCTGCCAGTTTTCACCCGTCGAACCGTCGAACCGTCGGGGCTCGATCAGGTCCACTTCCTGTGGGGCCGCTTCTGGAAGAAAGAGTTAATCATAAAGAGTCCCTCTTTCTCCATAGAGTCGGCCAGTTGCTGGCCCCTACGGTTCCGTTGCCCTACTCCAAATTTCCCTACCTGCAGCTCACCGCTTTCTCTTGTGCCTAGTTTTGCGTTGAAGTCTCCCATCAACACCGTGTAGTGGGTATTGGAGGAATGCATGGCTCTGGAAATATCCTCATACATTTCCTCCACCTCCTCATCGGGATGTGCCAAGGTTGGTGCGTAAGCCTGTATGACCTTCAGCGAATACCATTTGGTGATTCTGAGTATCAGGTACGCGACCCTCGTCGACACACTGCCAATCTTTACAACGTTGTTAACGAGAGACTTGTGGACGATAAATCCGACACATCCTTGTGACAGATGGTCGCCCTCCCGGTGATAGAACAAGTTGCCGGACTCGAGGATTACCGTGTCCTCCCCCTCTCTTCGGACCTCGGATAACTTAATAATATGCCAGCGCAACATGTCTACCTCTTCTTCCAACTCCAGTATCTTCTCGTCAGTCCTCAGGGTGCGTGCGTTATACGTTGCCAGGTCGAGTCGTCGTACGTGGCAACTGAACCTCCACCGGAGATTCTTAGCACCCCCTGCCCCGCCGTTACCATGGTCGCCACCGTAGCCAGGAATAGCGGGGCCGCCAGGGAATGGGGGCCGTTTGTTTGCGTCGTTACTCATGGGGGGATATTTGCCATTGTTGCCACGCTTGGCGAGCGGGTTGGCAACCGCAGTTTTTTATTATAACACAGTTGTTATCAGAAAGATGCTGCTGCCCATCTCCTGCCTGTCTCCCTCTGTCGCCTCTTACGACACCCACGGGAAGATATGGGGTAGTGGATATTCTCAACCGCCACTACACGGCGTTTAGTTTACTTATTTTAACTTATTTTTAATTTCTGACTTTTCGGGTGCTTTACAGTACCCACGGTCACGGGAGGGGGGTTGAGATGTTTAACGTCCCAGTGTCATAGTTAGCCCGGCTAACTTCAGTTTTTAATATTAATTTTGACCATTACATCAGATTTGATAAACCACAAATCCTCGAAAAATTGCACTGATTCCTATTATTTTTTATTATTATTTTACTATTTATTTTTTACTATTTTTTATAATCTTCATGTAAGCGTCGCTGGAGATTAAAAACAAATAGGTGTCGATTTGTAGAGCTGATACAAATATGAAGCGGTTATCCTTTTAAGAAGCTAAACCAGCAAGAATCCTTGATTCCAACCCTATAGAGCTCATGGGACACCATAGAACAAAAGGTAAGAGCCCGTAATCCACTCCCTATAACGTGAGGAAACCTTGAAACTGCTGGTGAGGAAGAATGGAACCACATCCCTCAAGAGACCATCAAAATCTTGATAACGTCATTAAAACGGCAAATACAGGCCATCATTCGAGCAAGAGGAGGGAATATGCAATATTAAATTGCAACAATTGTGTACGTAACAATAAAGACATGAAAATCAGAGCGTATTTAAAATTAATCAAAAAAATCGTTTTAAATTACTTAATTTTGATTTTTAATTCAAAATGACTTGCAAAAATCATTGTGATGTTTCGACTTTGATTGAATTTGTGTAAATAAACAAGTCAAATAAAACATGTAGTAATAAAAAACTTTGCTAAATTTTTGCATAAGAAAAACGTTATTTGCGGTAAGAACACAGGTGGGACAATTTTTTGACGACTAGTATTATATACGGTACTTATACCAAAATAACAATTTTTAAAATTT